ATTAACGGTCGATTGCTATTCATTTTTTCTTTTTTTCTTTGCGAAACTACTCTACTTGTTTTGCGAAAGAGTGCGGATTATAATTCGCGTTTTATTAATGTAAAATACGATGTATCACGCGTAATAGTCTAGCCGCGCGAGATCTGCCCACGCTGATCCGCCTAGTTTTTCACAGACGGAGACGTTATTTAATTAACCGCGACCGCGTGTCACCATCACCCCTATGGGTGTAGTACATATGTATCGCGTTATACAAATACATATATGTCTCTATTTCGTTGGTACGAGTGTGCGAGAAAATATATCTGTCGTGTATACATATATCTATATATGTATATACGTACGTACACGTGTACACAAATACATCTGAAGCGTATTTTTATGTTTTTGTATACATAATATATGTTATGTATATTAAATATATGTATATATAATATCAATGTGTAATTGATCCCAGACAACACAAAGTCCAAAATGACAATAAAATGTCCAATAAGACGTCTTTCGATGCCTTTTAAACGTTTCTCAAGACGTCTCATATCCCGATTTTGGATTTTATGTTACCCGAGTATGAATATCCACTTATATATACATTTTTTACATATATACATATATATAATGTTATATATATTATATACATATTTTATATATACTATACTATGTATATTATCTACACTTTATATAACCCAAATCCAAAACTCCTTAACTAGAGTGAGAATAGCTAATTGAATTTGTTTTCAAGTCTAATAATTAATAAAATCTGCAAGTGTGAAGAAAATCGCACTTATTTGATGAATAAATCAACTCGGACTAGTAGAGGTGAACTGAGAACTCTAGAGAAATATTTGAGAAGCATTAATTTGATTGACATACCATCCAATCTCCTAGAAAGAATGAGTGAGTTTTGTCAAACTAATAAGAGAATGAACTGATATTGATAATGAGTTTGTGTTTATAACGCTGAAACTCGAACTGTTTCTCTACCATCCACATCAGCTCAAGTTAATAGGAAGAGATTCATAGCCAAACCTAGAACCTAAAACTTCTTCTTTTGATTGGGTTAAAATTATCGATCTCCCTTCTCCAACTCCTAGTTCACAAATTATTCCACAGAAAGAAATTGGGAAATATAATAGCAAAGTATTAACATTAACCCTAAATTAAGAGTTTATAAAAAGCCAACCTATCGATCAAATTTGCCAAAAGATGGAGGCAAAAATTAGAAGATTACTAAGCAATGACTATAGTCTTGGATATGCTTCCTAGTTTGATAACTGAGAGAGATTTGGATGATGAAGATGCAAGAGACCCATTCGAGACATACAACTAGAATAAAGTATCTAGGAACTTAGACTTTGTTAAAAAACTGGCTAAATTAGATTAGATATAATTTAATCCAGAGATATGGCTTTTATAAACAGAAAAAGGAAACAATAAATGCATATACTCTTCAAGAAATTGAAGGTATCACAGCTACTGAAGAAATAATACAATTTACTAATAACTGAGCTTTTATTACTAAAGATGCTGCTTTTGAATTCTTAAGAAATGTATCATTTTCATAAAGGATATTCTGGACATGATGAAAAAAAAATACAAAATCAGTACGGCTGCTGATCAACCATTAGATGCAACTACTATTACAGTATCAAGAAATGCTGTATCTTTCCCTGGAATAACAATTATATTATTTCATAAAGAAATTGGAAGATAAATCATTGAATCTACTGTACTATTTTTTGGATCAAATGTCTAAAACCATACTCTCTAATAGTAGCTTCTGTGATTCCTAATCATGTAGACCAAAGGCAACACTGCTTGCAATAACAAGTGATTATATGTAGATGATGTCTTGCATCAAATAGATGCGAAAACCAGCTTGCAAAACATATTTTTAGCTTCATTTGTCTCAATAATATTTTACAAGAAAATCAAGTTTTGTAAAGAATGGAAAATAATTAAATATACTAACAATGGTCAATAGCAAGTCTGATCATTACTTACAACCCTTTCACAGTTGCTAATGGACAGAGAGCTAAGAACAAAATTTCTACATTCAGACCAAATCCTATCCAGCTAATTTACAAAATATAAAAGAAGTGAAGAGGGAATTACAACGCTTGTATTCTAGAAAATATAAGTTCTAAAATCTTTGCGTAATACTATTGATTCAATATACTACGAGTATTACATATATAAAGTATATATAATATAAATAGTATACATATATAAAATATGTATACTATATTATATATAATTATATGTATATGTAACATTTATTTTATATA